TGTGTGTGTGTGTGTGTGTGTGTGTGTGTGTGTGTGTGTGTTTTTCTTTTTCCCGTCATTTGGCATTTTCAATACACGACCAAGCTATCATATAAAGAGGCATGTTTTTTTTTATTAGTACTGCTCTTGCCCGTGGTTTTGGCTTTTTGATTTTTAGTGACCATGTGCAAAATCCAGATCGTCTTGTTACTGAAACACTGCATTACACTTTTTATTGATCTTGTATGTCTCTGTATCCAGTCTATAACCATAATGAATAATATTAGTGGAACACTGCACCCATGTCCTAGGAGAATGCTGTACTCAAAGTTTTGGCATAGACTTTAATGAGTGTGACTACTATATTTTATAACGGACTACCAGTTGGCATGATTATTCCACAATCGGTCGAGCTTGCGACTAATCTGACAATATTATACGCTGAAATGTCACTTGTCAGTTGTGTGAGATTTAAATAGACTCTTGAGTGCCAGCGTATGGGCACTTCGCTCATCTGTAACACTGAAAGGTTTAAATGGGCAGAAAACTAATTTTCAGACCAAAACAAACTTACCATTTGGTCGGTAAAAATCTTTATCCTCCTTGAATAACTCTTACACATGCATTCGTGCTAATCTTTATCTAAAAATTTTTATTTAGACTGGTGTGCAAATTTGGATTAAAGTTGAATCAACAACTCCGAAACTAATCAAGCGACCAGAGCAGACTCCGTCAAAGGATGCCAGAGAATAACCCGTAACGTATTTCCGGTTTCGTTCGAAATCGAAAGTGGTACTTATTTACGCCAACACGTACACATGCAGCATATGAAATATACAATCGAAACTCACAATACAAAATTAAGTATTTACATTGTTCCGTTTTACGGTTTAGATGAGATTAATAATGCTGTTTTGCCGTTTTAAAAATAAATAAATATTGGTATACAATGTAGTTGGACTGTCATATACAGTTTTAGGTTATCTATCTGGACCTACACTGCCCCTTTTGGTCTTTTATTTAAGACGAATTTTGATGTATTTTTTGAAACCTCTTTATAAAATCAATGTTAGTTATAATTATCTCCACTTGCTAATGTAGTATTGCTGGAACAAAAGATGAGGTCTAGTTGGAACATTGAAACAGTATTTGGTAATGCGAGCCTAACCCATTACAATACATGGGATACAAAATATTTCAACCACCAACAACAACAAATGAGCAAGCAAAATGGGTTTGAAACAGCCAGAGAAAATTATAAGGAAGTATTGATTTATGTATTTACTTACTTATTGGTCTTTAACTCCATTAGTTTAAAGCTCAAGTAAGCCAACGTGTAAATAATGAATGGTCTAGTTATTTTTAGCTCTGGCTCATTATTGTTTTCTGCCCTTTGCTTAAGGGGTGGGGAATGCCAACAAATGAAAGAACTGGAGTGCAAATGAATGAAGGAATGACTGAAAGAAATATTTGGCACATACTTTAAGAAGGTGTTGCATGAAGACTATATAACGCAAAAAAAATTATATTATTTAAAATACATTTTTAGATTTAGGATTTCTTCTTTCTTGTACTGTTTGTTTTAGTAGCTCTTATATCGAAATGAAGGCAGTGTGGATAATAATGACCTAACTCTTTTAGTAAAATATAATATAACATCATAAAATAAAATAATAATAAAAAATAAGGCCCAGGACCCAAAAATCGGCCTGGCAATGACTTTAATACACCCCTATTGGACAGCTTTGGAAAACATGAAGGTTATAATTTTGCACTTTTAACTGTATTTTCATAGGTTTTATAGCTTCATCTTTAAAGACCTCTCCCATGGGCCATTCATGCTACAAAAAAATAAATGACAGAAAAGTTCCTGTTTTTTTTTCACACTCTACTGTAGAAATTTTGAGGATACACAATAACAAATAAAAGGACATGAAAATTAACAAAAGCCTTGTGTTTTATAATTACAGGATTATGAGTCAGCTGCCTGAAGATTTTCCTTAATTTGACACATTTCTTTATTACTATTCAAGTCCCAAGAGTTGTACTGAGATTTCTTTTTGTTTCTACAACACCATGTCTTTATCACATAGATAGAGATGTTCTGTGGAAGTTGTTAATTTGTTTCTTATGAGAATGCCACTCCTCTGGCCCAGTTCAGATCAAACTGGGCTCACGGTGTAAAGTGAATTTGACATCCCTGGTGTAATGTAATAATAATGTGGACATTGTTAAAGATAAAAGGAAACTGTTTTGATGAAATAAACTGTGACATTTGTTAAAAAAAAATTGAATGGAGTTTACTCAACCTGTAAATTGTAAAATAATTAAAAAATTCTGTTAAGCCCATTAGCTTCCCAATTTTACATGAAAGCGAAGTTAAAATAAAGCTTAAAAAATTAATTATTTTATGAATCAGTCTTCTCTGGGAACCAGGGAAAAATCTTACTCCTAAACTGTGTGTATATGTGTCTTGTGACTGTCTTTATGTCTCTCTTGTTGTCTGATTTTCTCAGTTGAATTCAGCTATGTCTCCTTGCCTTTCTGCTTTCACAGTCGTTGATTAACCCCATGTGTATAAATAGCCCTACCCTGCTCCTTAGTCTTTGTCATAGTGTCTGTTTTTTTCCCTACCTATTTTAAGAATCAGTTGAATCACTACTTTAGATTTGGTCTTAACCAAAGGTCTTAATTAACGGTGTGTTTTTGATTTAACCTCTGCCGTCTTGTGTCTGCACCTGGATCCTACTTGCAGTTCCTGACAGTCCATAACTGATTCAAGGATACATTCGATAGAGAGCAGTGAATGTAGGAGGGGTCTAAAAAACATGCAATTAAAAAGATCTAAAAGAACTCCAAAGCAAAAATGTCAGACGTAAGATTTAAGTAAGATTTAGGTTGGATTAAAAGAGAAAGGAAAAAGTGTTTATTTCGATATCATACAGTTGCTCACTTCAAAACAACCACATCACATTGAGAAACAACAGAATGGAAAAAAAGAAAAATAAACACAGATTAAGCATTCGTACATGTCTTTCCACGATTGTTTCTTCTGACCTGGGATGAGGAGGGGGGTGGTTATAAAGAAGGAGGGAGGACATTATTGGCTGAAGAGCCTCAGCACACATAACCTGCTCATCCAGTCATCCCACAATTTAGGCAGGTCACAGGTTGAAAAAGTCTCACAAAGTTTTATTTACAAACAGCAGCCTAGATGATAGAAACAGCAAGATTTATTCATCCTGTGGCACAACTAGACATTTTATTATTAGGTTTGTTTTGTCAGTTAAACAAAGTTGAATTCGTTGCTGAAGGAAGTCTACCAAATGTCAGTCGCACAGTAGTCGTTGTGGTTCATTTGTGTATTTGGATATAGGTAACAGAAGCAGGATAGTGCTAAGCAGTGCTCCCCATAAACTGGATTTTGGATTAGAAAAATATCTCTTTCAACAGACGATTAGGGAATGAGAAAAAGCTAACATTACAAAAGTGTCAGCATACAAAAGGGAGATATCCTAGATTAGAAATGAAAATATTTTTCAATTAATTTTTAAAAATTTCCCCAATAAGTTTCTGAAGAATCCCGTTCAAATGTTCCATGCACAGAGGCAGCAAATGGGTGTTTTTGAAAAATAGGAGGTAGCTTCACAGACTGATTTTAAATTTAGGTTTAAAAGAAAAAAACAAGGCTAAATGCAGAGTTCATATAATTTCAGATAAAGATTTTTGAATTAAAAGAGTCATACATTGATCTAAGCATGAACAAATTGCAAATTGTTTTAACGTAAACTCAGTGACTACAGCATGACTGTTTGGTAAATGCCGAGCATAAAGAGCAAGAACAAAAGTAGATTATTATATAGAAATGAAATAATTGATGATTTTAATTAAAGCTGAAGACTTCTGTTGTTGTCAGTGACAAATAACACTGGCAACAACCGCCATTCAAGCTTCCAAGAGGCTAAAGTTATAATCAATAAGATCAAAGATTTGGCAACATGAAGCTCAGATACAGCAAAATTAAAAGGCTGTTGTTGAAAATGCAGAACATAAATCGCATCAAAACAGAATTTGAATTATAGATTTTAACTTTAAGTAGCCGCAGTAGCACTTTAACCTGTCATTTGTATTTTTTACCACAAGATGGCAGCACACACAAAGGACTAAACACTGAGGCTGCTGTAAATCAAAAAACAAACGATGTAGGCTGTGGTTTCAAAGTAAAATGGAACACGTACCGCACACATTTAAAGACCTTCAAGTGTTTTTACAAAGGGTAATACAGGAGAGTTTGTTTTTGTTTGTTTTTAATCAAATGTACCCGAGAAAGATAATGTCAACTTTGTATTCCTTGTGGCCGTTTTAGCCTTCTTTGAAGGTCTGGTCTTGCAGGGTTTTTGGTCACGCTGACCTTGGCCCTTCCACTGTCATTATAAACAAAAGGACACCAGGGCCAAAGTAGCATCTGTAGTCTGCTCTGTCAGTAAATCACTCCTCACCTGCTCATAAAGGCTGACTAATACAAAAACTCCCTCTTCGTCCTCGTTTTCAAAACCACCCTTTAGAGGTGAAGTACTACAAGAACCTTTTCTCACATGTTTAAGGTCACGAAAGAATCCATCGCTCAGTTTACTGACAGCTGTCATCTCATCTGTGTATTCAGACTACACACATTTAAAAAGACACACAACCCATTTCTTGATTTTTCTGAGTTCTTCAGATTTTAACCACCATGAGTCTCCCCACATCTTCCCTTCAAACGTTCTCCCCGCGCTATCTTTCTCTCTCAGTTACTCCCGCAACTGTTCTCCTCTGTCATGGCTTCAGTTGTGTCCCCCTTCATGTCTTCTTCCTCCTCATCTTCCTCCTGTGCTGGTTGTATCTGCTTGGCCGTCTCTCTCACGCTGGAAAACTTGT